TGAACAGTAGTGTTTGTGGCCAAAATCCGCCGAGCACTCGTTTCAATTAGTCAGCGTCAGCTTTGTCAGTGGCGCACGCAGGCATGAATTTTAGACGGTGTGAGGTGAGATTGGGCGTTAGGTAAACTGTCCAGCTTGGACGTGCCAGTCCATACAAGTCCCACGACTACAGTTTGCAGTACTAAAAAGCTTCGTATGGGGAACTTAAGGCCTCAACTTTAGATTACACCAATAAACAGTAATTTGCATTCCAAAGAAAAACATGCGATGCCGCAGGGACTACTTTACCATATTCACACGAAGCACGGCCAGCAAACGGCCGCACAGAACTTGAGTTGGCCTGTTAAGTGCTAGCTTACTAAAACACTGATGAAGTGTTCATATCCGAGTCTTTTATAACGGATATCAGAAAAGCAACTGAAGTAATTGCAAAATATTCTCGCAGAATTCACCGGATAAATTTAAAAAGAACGAATCATTCACACTCACTGTCTGCTTGATATTTCAAATGAGAGTTAGGTCTCCACAAGCGATTATGGCCACCATGTGTCCAACATAAATGTAGGCGCAAAGACAATGTCCTGTGCGTTAATTAGTTTTTAATTATATGAAGCTTATGCTACATCTATCACATGAGCCTCGGTGCCACCCACCTGGACCCAGTCTGAAAAGAGAGTAAAAAAGGCAATATATGGATCGGACGTAAAAAAACACGGATAGTAAACATGATAATCGCAAGAACTGAGAGACGTATATAGCTAGCTATGACATGTTTCCATCATAATGTGATAAACCAAAAGGAAACAGCAGAAAACATGACCAAATCTGAGGAATCAAGCTTCTTTTATTTTTGAGAACAACGTTATTAATAACACTACAATTTGCTTTTCGGTAGAGAATGCGTGGATACGTTCCTGGAGTGCATCACTCGATAAAAAATCGAACAACTATGGAGCAACCTGTATTTTTTGTGGTGTACTGCGATCCCACGTATCTCCTTCTAAAATCTTTCACGTTGGACT